ACCCCAAATTCGAATCTCAGGGTCAAAGTCTCAGCCCGAGAGGGGCCAAGTCGGCCAGTTTCAGAAAAGCTAAGTCGGGTGCCCCAGAGGTAACGTCCAGAAGGCACCCGGTCAACAGTCACAACCCAAAGGCCAAAGTCGCATCCAATAGACAAAAGTCACGTCTTGAAGTCAATGGGACATATTCTACAGGCAAAGGTCATGTCTCTTAGGCAAAGCGGCATATCCCACAGATGAAAAGTCGTGACTCACAGGCCCAAGCAGCAGCACACCAAGGGAAAATTCAGGGAGGTACCAGACTTCAACATTCTGAAGCAGAGGCTGGGACGAGTTCAGTGAAACGGTTTTCACCTTTTTGCAGTCATAGATGCGGGCCCTAGAGTTCGATCCCCAGACCTCACCTTACCCATGTACAGTATCGAGTTGACCCCCGAGTGTTTGAACCCGTGACCTGTGTTTCGGTAGTTGGTTGTTTGCCTGGCGTAGGTCTGTGTAGATGTAGGGGTTCGATCTGTAGGTTTGTCGAGTAGGGGTCATAGCTGTGTGGAGGTCGTAGCTATAGCGTTTCTGAAAGGTCAAGGTCGTAGCTTCTACAGTCCAGAAAGGTCAAGATCATAGCCGCTACAGTCCTGAAAGGCCAAGTCCTCAAACTTCCGGAAGGTCCGGAAGTGGCCTTTCAAGTTTCTTCTCACGTTTTACACAACAGGCCAGAGGCAAGTGGGCAAGTGGTGAGTCCAACTTCGCTTAGTCAGTGGTACCCAGTCCCAGTCTCACTCTGCACAGTCAGCAAGTACCATGAGGGACTGTGTGCACCATGGGCCCGGTGGAGAAGGGCAGATCAACGACTTACAGAAGTATAAATCAAGAGGCAGCGSCCAGCCATTCATTCATTCGCTGCGTAAGCCATGCGGAAGCGCTCGAACAGCGTCTTGTGCGAAGGTGGTCTGCAGGTTGCCCGAAGTCAAAGTGGGCTGAGAGGTGGTAGCATAGCCATAGTTAGTAGAAGTGGAGCGGCCATAGCCGCTGTAGTGTTAGGAGTTAGCGAGTGTGTATGAGTGAGTGACAGAGTGAGAGTGTGTGGGAGTATTCAGGGTGATCCAGAGTTGAGTGCAGGCGAACAGTGGTATTGAACACAGTGACGAGAGTTGGGTTGTGAAGGCGCTGATGCGCCATAGCTTGCTGAAGCGAGTTTGCATCTGAACTGTGTTCTCGGTTTTCCATATCTCTGAGCTTTGAGTGGGCGCACCAGTGTGAATCGCTATCTGTTTGCATGTATGCGAAGTGGAAAAGAAAGCGAGTCAGTCCAAGTCAATATAAGCACTGGCCAGTGGCCAGCCACATTTCAGGCAGATTGCTCATTCATGAGAAGTGTGGAAGTGCTGCTGAAGCACTTGTGCGCCATCTGCAAGTAACATGCGTGAGAGCCCTGCTGGGCAGCGCTGTGCTGAGGAGGGAAGGCGGCCATAGCCGCTCAGCTAGTAGTAGGAGCCTAGGAGGTAGACTTGAGTAGTGGCGGATGTATTCAGAGTCAAGATCCTTAAGTAGAGAGAGAGAGGGAGAGAGTGAGCGCATGCATGAAGAAGACAGAGAGAGAGAGGGGGGGGGGGCAGAGAGAGAAGAGAGTCACCTACCTAAGGCTACCTTGCATGAGATTCATGAGAATGCTCGAATTGGGTTGCTGAACTCTGCGCTGATGAGAGCTGGTAACTGCACTGACTGGAACTCTGAAAGTGCTTAATATGATAATTCGTTGGAATTTCTAAGTTGCACTTATCTGGATTTTGCATCTCTGGTCTCCAGTGTGGACTTCGTGTGATCTCTCATTGTGTGTGTGCTCAAGGTAACGAGCACTGAGGCTCAACGCATCTCTCTCTCTCTCTCTCTCTCTCTCTCTCTCTCTCTCTCTCT